CTGCTCACTTGCGCACTGTCTCTCTCTCTCTCTCTCTAGCACTGGCCCCGGCTCTCTTCGTGCCAAACCCTCTCCATGCCTGTCCCACCGCCGCGAAACTGCAGGCCCGAGGCAGCAGACTAATTCTTGCACCAGCCACAGAGGGGATGGGCCCAGGCCGGGAAAACAGCCCCAATCTGGGGCCCACAACGACCTGACTCCCAGAGGTGCACCCAGTCCAGAACACTTGTCCTCGGACCTTCCCCAGCCGGGGCTCAGCCCAAGACTGGCCCAGCCCTGATTCAAATACCTTATCCCATTTTCACAAATACTAAGGCCGTACTAGTACCAAAAACAGGATAGGGATTTACAAAATGCTTTCCCTCACATCATCTCATTTGACCAATTTTCCATTTTTACAGGATTTACTGAACTCTAGACCACATGCCAGGCACCATGTGGGGCACTGGGCTTATGAAGACCAGGCCCCTGCCCTCGGGCTGACCCTCACAGACCAGCAGGCAGCCTCTTCCAGACTCACAGAGATATTTAATTTATGCCCATTGGACGGCTGAAGAGACTGGGACTCAAGGAAATTAAGCACAGAGCCAGCAAGGTAAAAGAATCCATACGTAGGAACCGCTCAGCTAAATCCACGCACCTTCAGGGGTCGGCGGTGGGAGGGTGCATCCCGACCCTCTGCTTTCTGTCCTTGTCCCCCGTAAACACACCTTCCTCTGGGCCCTCTTCTCCAGCAAGCTGTGTTGCTTCCTGCCTTTATCGGAGGCCACACTCACCCAGAGACGGTCTCCATCAAGCCAGCTACAGCCCTGCTCCCCAGTACCACAGCACATTGTCTGCTCCCAGCTCCTTGCTTGGCCATGGAGAACTGGTTGGCTCTTCCTACCTCTCTGTAAACCTTCTACCCCCGACCCTTGTCAGCTCCCTAGAAACTGAGCTCCAGAAATCCCAGCTGGAGGTCGTTTACCAGGCCCCCCAAGGATACAGGGGGCGCCCTTCCCTGGCCGCCCATCAACCCAGCCCCTAGCCCTCCTGCAGGGTCCTGCCCTCCTGCCCGACCTCCCTTCTTGACCTCGGCCTGCCCCTCCCTGTCCCCTCCCCTCCTCTCACTCCAGCCCCCGAAGAAATCAGGGATTGGTGTTTGCCAAGTGCGGTGAGAAGGAAAAGAGCCAAGTGCCTCCCATCCACAGGAAGGAAACCATTTTAATTGAAAAATGAAATCACGGATTACATGCAAATCTTTGTTGGCAAAATTCAATTACCACCAAATTAAATGCATAGTGAAGCTAAGCGTCTTTGGGGCGCTCCATTTAATGGCTTCCTGGGGTGTGACCACAGCAATCAGGCGCGGCCTGGTAGGGCTCCTCCTGCTGACAGAGTGCCCCGGGAAGAGTTCGGGGAACTGGTCTCTGGCTGCCTGGGGCCCCCACCTTTGAGCCTTAAATATTAGGTTAAGTGGCCATGTAGGGCAGGAAGAGAGGAGTTTTGACCGGTTTTACCATTCAGCTTCCTGCCTTTCAAAAACTCGGCCTCAGCAAAGGAAAAATCAGAGAAGATTCTAGTAGCAACAATATTAAAAACGACCTCCCCAAATTACCTGGCCTTTCCCTATCATCTTATAAATGAGAACACTGAGGCTCAGAGCATCCCTTGATCAAGCTGAGACAGGACACAAGGTTACATCCGGCCCAGGACAGAGGGTCTAGTTAACCCTAAGGAGCAGGGTCCACTCTGCTAGGAGCTGGGGAGGAGAGGTCCGCCTCCAGACTGCTGTGTATCATTTAATTCTACCTGGTGTTGGTGGCAGCGTCAGGGACTCTAGCCCGCTGCCACATTCTACCCTGTACACTCAAAGCGCATGTGCTGATTGCTTATAGGTGCGCCCGGCACCTTGCTAGGCACCGGACCCCAAAACCAGAAAGCCAATCTGTCCCGCATGCCTCACCCGCAGGATTGCATCCGGTCTTGTGAGAGTGGGCACTGCTTCCTATGAGACAGGTGTTAAAACAGACCCTCCAGCCAGAAAGAAAGAACTGTGTTCGCGTATCTGTGAGTCTCTACCTCTAGGTCAGCGCGTTTTAAAACCTCCCTTCATGTCTATTAATGAAAAGAACCCATATTTGATGGAAAACACTAATATCATGGTAGTTTTGCTCAGAGAAAGTGGGGATAACCCTGGGAAGTTGACCTTGAATTACCAGATGCTTCTAGCTGTCTTGTATCGAAGCAGGAAGTTTCTTATCATGATAAGATTATTTCCACGTAGCCTATAGCCAAGACGCTAGAAGACGTCAAGGAAGATTTAAGTGAGAGGCTCTCCCATCGCAGCACCTGCCTGGCCCTGGGGCACCCCTTCCCTGGCCTGGCGTCAGACCCCAGGGCCTTACGCACACCTGCCAGGCAGAGAGCATGAGGAGGAGGTGATTTTCAGGCCGTCCCCGGAGCGGGAAGTCAGTTCTGAGAGTCTGAACAGCCACCCTGAGCCTGCTGAGAAAAGCCAGGAAGAGTGTGACAGGCCTGGACTTGGTGGGGAGATAGTCCCCCTCCACAGGGCCTGGGGCCCCACGGAGGGTGGCTCTCACCCCGACTCCGCCTCTGCAGAGCATGTGGGTTCTGGCCTTATCTGCCAGATGGCTCCCGGAGGGAATGATTTATTAGGTGCAGAAAGCTCGCTGATAAATTTTACTGCAAGTCCCCGGCAGAAGACTGGGGGTAGCAACAGCCCAGCGCAGGCAGCTCTAATGGAAAGTGCCGTCACCAAAGAGCAAAGCGTTATTTATGACTGTCTGTGATGCCGTTTGGGGGAAATTCATCATCGCCTCCCTGCTCCGCGCAGGCGGGGACAGCAGCACGGGGCGGGGGGGGCACGGGACAGGTGGGGAACAGCTAGAGCTTCTCTGGGAATCTGCCAGTGGAAAGCAAGGCCATATTTTCCCTGAGTGACCCAGCTCCCCCTGCCAGGCACCGACCTACAAGTCCCCTCCCCGTCCCGACTTGCCCCACTCAACCCCGACCTTGCCGCTCCCCTCCGCGCCACAAAACGGTGACTAGAAAAAAAAAAAACAGAAAACGACGGTTTCTTGTTCTCTGCGTGGACTGCAGATTCTTACCTGTCTGCATGGCTGAGGACAGTCCCTTCCAGAAGCAGACGTCTAAACCAAAGGACCACTCCAGTCCCCATCAAACTCCACACCTGAAAGAGGTTTTCTTGCTTATGCAAAACTGCTGGAGGAACGAGCCTTAGAGCGAGACAGTGACCCAGCTACGGTCGCCCAGCAGTCAGGGCCAAGGAGCGCAGGGCTGGAGAGCCACCTTCCTGGTGACACACAGCATGGCCCTGTGGTGGCGTCTCTCTGTAACTGAGCAGGACCCTGTGGGGCTTTCCAGGGTCAGATTCCCTCCCTCAAATCCTCTGCTGGAGCTCCTCTCTGAAGTACTCAGATAACAGTACCTCATGTATATTTCCTGAGTTTTCCAGATGCTAAAAACCACCACCCAAGGGGAGAAATTAACTACTTGACAATCAAGAGCACGTGGCCCCCAGAAGGGGCACCTAGGGTTTGGCAGTGTTGACCGCCCTGTTACCTCAACATCACCCAATCAGAGGACTGTACACGAGCTGATCACGCACCCTGCGACCCCTCTCCCTCACCTGGCCTTTAAACAGGCTTTGCTGAATCCCTTCAGGGAGTTCAAGGTTTCCTCGGGCATGCGCCACCCCATCCTCCTTGCTCAACCCTGCAATCAACCTTTCTCGGCTCTAAACTCTGACATTTCAGTTTGTTTGTCCTCACAGTGTGTCGGGCACACGAACTTGCCTTCAGTAACAGATGGAGACATTTGGGGGCTGCCCCTGTCCTAGCCCAGCCCCCTCCCACCATGCCAACAAATGAGGCAAGTCTCTGTACTTCCTTTTGGTTTTTGTAGAATAGAGTAGTCGTGGATTGCTCTCTGCCTCACATTTGAATTATTTATGTCTAAGTCTGTCTCGATGGTCAAATTAAATGCTTCTTGAGGGCAGGGCTTGTATCCTATTCATTTTTATATTCACCGCAGAGTAAGCAGGGCCCCTGGCACATAGCAGCCTTGATAAATGCTTGATGATAAAACCACACCGGCCAACTTCAGATCTACTGAGACGGTGGCCTCATGTGTTCCTACGCGTCTGTCACCATGCTGGTATTCATAGCATTACAAAGTAGCTGGTCCCCGCCCCACACATCCATCAGCATGTTTCCACGGAAAGAGCACTGGATTAGGCGTCAGGTGGGGTGGGTTCTAGCAGGCGGCAATCCCAAATATTCCCTGAGTACATAACGCGAGCCAAGTCAGATTTCACCCCTATTGCTACGATTAAGCGGGGTCAGCTCGGCTTACTCCTGCACGCCCTGGTATGCCGGGGAGCACAGGGGTAACGAAGCCTAACGCACAGGACTTCAATGAGAATGTGGGCATGAGGAGCAGCAGGAGGGCCCAGCTCTAGGAAGGGAGGGGACAACTTGCATCGGACGGTTCTCCATGCCAGGGACTGTGCTATCTCAGTTCAACCCCTTCACACAAATTCTGTGGAGTCAGTTTTGTTAGGATACTCAGAGTATAAATTTGAAAACATTGGTGTCAACTCCTTCACTCTCTGGCTGGGTGTCCTTCAGTTGAGTCATTTTCCCGCTTGTGGTCTTTTGTCTCATTCGGGAAATAAAGAAGTTGGACTGGATGTTCAGTACGGTCCCTTCAACTTCAAATCCACTGCCCCGGCCGTCCTAGCCCATTGGAGGGGTGGGATGTGAATGGGTGATCAGTACTTCCAGGAACAGTAAATTATGCATGAAGGGGGTGACTTAAATTTTGGCTTGAAGATCTGGGTGTTAAAGTTCCCCCCAACAGGAAATATCTGAGACTATGGACTGTCTCAGGAGGAGAAAAGAGTCTGGCAACTTTGGGCCCAGGAAGGAGCAGGCCAAAGAGGTCAGGGGGACAGGAGGAGAAAAGATTCTGGCAACTTTGGGCCCAGGAAGGAGCAGGCCAAAGAGGTCAGGGGGACAGGAGAAGACTCAGGAGACTGGTCCCCAGCCGGGTCCACCCTCTGCCCATCCTGGACTGGCGAGGAAGTTGGTAGTGATACCCCTTGTCAAGGCCCCGGCAGTCTCTTCACTTCGAGTCAAGACCCACACTGTGTTACTCAAGGCAAGTTGCTTAACTTTTCTGAGCTTCAGTTTCTTCTTCTGGGGACAATGATAACTTCTTCATAGAATTATTTTAAGGACTAGGTTTGACAAGCCCTAGTGAGGTGTCCAGTACAGAATAAATGGACAATGTGTATTTGTTATTTTGACTCTAATGTCCAGAAATCAAGTAGATTCAAACATTGACCACATAACCAGAAATTTCAAGATAATCGGTCAACATAAACTACTTTCTTCTCTTTCAGTTTTTCTTAAAACCAAGCCCAAATGATAATATGGATGCATAATAATTCAGACACATCTTAAAAACTGACCTCCATAAAGCATGACCGCTGCTCATCCAAATGACCCATCCCTTTGGAAACTGAGACTTCTTTTCCATTTTCCAAATGACTACCATTTTCCAGTACCTGGAATGCCATGGAATTTCAGGTAGCTCAGCCATGAGAAATGAATGTGGTATTTTCTGCCAGCCATCTAATGGTGCAGACAAGGGCAAAACATTCCTATCATTTAAGTGTCTGGCTCTCAAGCATAGCATTGTGGGCTGGTCTCAGGTGTACTGCGGAAGAATTCCTTAGAGTGTTTGGTAGACATGTTGATTTCCAGGCTCCAGACCAGAAATTCTGATTTAGTCTGAAATGAGGCCCAGGAATCTGCATTATAAGTAAGCAAGAGATTCAGATGTACATTCAGATTGAGAACCACTGATCTAAGCCAAGGGTTATTTTTCTATATAAATTTTATTTATACTTTCTCACCTTTTTTTCTGTCTCTTTGAATCTAATATTGATACCGTTAAATCATGGGGCAATTGAGAGAAAAGACAGAGAATATCTTTATCCTGACCTCCTGGCCCCATCAGCAACTTCCACTTATATTTTGAGATTCTCCCTACACTCAATGTTATAAAAAATTTCTCCCTGCTTTCAGACAGTCTTTGGGTTCCATAAAAATGTACTTAGTATTTAAGATAGCAGTAAAGATTTAATACTTTAAAACAGAAAATGGCAAGTAGGATTCATGTGGTGGAGCGCAACCAGTTGATTGGCAGGGGCTGTGTGGACAGCAGGGCGCTCTGAGGAGAAGCCCCGCTCAGGGAGAGTATGTGTCGAGTTCGATTAGTGATGCCTGGCATGGGTACAGTCAAGGGAAAGTGAGATAAGAAGTTACTTCCTTCCAGCTCAGCTTCAAAGTATCTTATCCTTCCAGAGGAGGAGTATTCAAAATGGATTAAAGGGCAATGTTTACATTTAAAGTTTCCATTCATACTTCTGTAGAGAACTTGTTTTCCATTCTTGCTTTTTATTTTTTCCTAACTGAATTAAAGATGTATTCAGGAAGCTGTGGTCCAGATAATGTAGGAAGCAATCTGAAATAAGAACAGAAAATTCTAAATGGATCCCATGGAAGCATACACACCAAGCAGCCCTTCCCTTCCCCCACACCAGAATGGGGATATTGGTTTTGTAGCTTCTTCCTGTGTGTGTCCCCAAGGATGGACTACAAGGTGAATAAAGGCGTTCACTTCCCAGCACCCTGCCTTCCCCGAAACTATTCCTTCTATACTAAGTGCCCGACCCACCCTCCACTGTGTTTTTATTGTAACCTTACCAATCATTTAAGGTCCAAATAAGACCTACCTCCAAACAAAAGACTTGACAGAAGACTTAACACTCCCAGTTGGAGTTATTTTTTCCATAATACTTGGTGACTTTATAAAAGCACTCCTGACCAGCTCCTTGTTATCCTCGTTAATCGTGTGTTTGCCTAACCCCCTCTGCCCCCGCCCCAGCTATGAGCCTCTGGAGAGTTGAGACAGAATCGTATTCACCCAGCGAAGTGAGCTGCCCTTGTGAGTATTCACTGCATTAAACTGAAAAGGCAGCTAGGCTCTGTTTGGTTTTGTTTTATAAACCCAAGACAGAAAATAAAGTGCGCGGTGAATTATGCAAGGGAAAGTCTTCTTTGTGTTTCACACTGTTCCAGATGCATTTGTGTGCAGGGAAGCTGGCTGAGAAAATGCCCTAACGGTGCATCCAAGGCTCTCCCCTGCTTCTTTAGAGTCAGGCAGCTCTCAGTGAGGTGTGCTCTCAAGGAGGTTTGGTTTCTGGGAAGACTCTTACCGCCCTGGGGAGTGTGCGGGTTCTGCCGAGAGCCACGACCCGCAGGGACGGGCACAGCAGCCAATGACAGCCCTTCAGGAGACGGTGGCGCCTGCCTGGCGGTATGGTCAGCAGAGCGGCCAGGGGGCCCAGCATCCAGCCCTCCGCAGCATTCCCAAGCCCCGAGGAATCAGAGTGGCTGGGCTTCCCTGCACAGCAGCAACGTTTGATGCCATCAGTCCAGGCTCAGTACCCCTCTCCTCCTCAAGGCTACCAAGTGAGCAGACAAGGAAGGCAGGAGGGAGGAGGGGGGTTGGGTTTACCAGCAAGTGGGTGCTGAGTCTGAGAGAGCAGCAGCCACCTTAGAGCCCGGAGGTCATGTGTCTCCCCCAGGGCTACGTTCCTTGATAATCTCCCAGGTTCCTTGATAATGACCCAGGGCCAACCCCTGAGGCTTCCCTCTGTAGTTGGTTGAATCCTCAGATGTCAAGCTCATAGATATGGAGGACTGAGCACAGGAGGGCTGATTGTGCTCAGTCATTAAGAGAGCATCCACAGATTTTGGTATCCTCCAGGGTCCTGGAATCAATCCCCCAGCATTACCAGGACAACTATATACAGAGGACGGGGGCAGAGGGCTCACTTCCTGCCACACCCCAAGGGGGGCTGTCCGCACCGAGGCATAAAGAAGAGAGGTCTGTACTCAGTGTTTAGCTCTAATGGGGTCCCCTCCCTTTCTTACAAGGATGCTACGAGGACAAATGAAGTAATCTACCTGAAGTGTTTTGAGAGCTTTCTAAGTGCGACATAAATATTACAAAGGAGCCGCTGATGCTGGTAACAGTAATAACAATGGTGGTGACAGGACCATATCCACGGTCGTAACTTAAGGGAATATTTAAAATGAGAAAACCCAACCAAAATCAATCCACTGAACCTTATTTAGAAGAGAGGCTGCTAATAAAAATATTATGGGAATGTGAACTCTTGGGAAATAATGATGATTTTCTTCCATTAAAAGGCTCATCAGATCCATTTCCAAAGAACAGCTCAGTTAACTGTGGGCTCTTTGCCACTTGGCGCAATGAGAGAGAGAAGAAGTAGAGGGGGGAGGGGAGGAGGAGGAAGTGAAAGGGAAGAAGGTGAGGGAAGGGAGAAGAAGGAAGGGGAAGAAAAAATAGAAGAAGGAGAAGAAAGAAGGAAAAGCAGCAGCCATCCCTACTGTGCGCTGCAGCCCTGGGTTTGGGAGACACAGCTGACCTGAATCCCTACACCCACGGCCAGCTATTTCCATGCAGAGAGAGGCTGGCACTGTCTGTGATTCTCTTCCTTCTTCCTGCATCCCTCCGTCCCATCCGCAGCTGCTGCCAAGCTTGCATTCAGAGTCATTCCTAACGGACACTAATGGGCTGATGCTGTCTTTCTCAGAGTTGGCTGGGGTCACTCTCCAAAGGCAAATCCACCCAAGGATGAGATCCCAACACGGAACATCCGTGAAGCCCCCGATGTGGCAGCTGGCAGGGTGCTCCCGTGCAGTCGAGGCCTGACCCCTGCTTTCTCCAATTACCCTGGTTAGGGAAGTGGGGGTGGGGAGATGAAAACTGCAGATGAGGGGAAACAACGGGGCTAGGAAGAGACAATTAAGTGGAAACCCAACCCCAAGGAGCCTGGGGCAATGAGGACCTGGTGAAGGTCGGACAGAATCCCATCCCATCGCAGGCCCAGGCAGAGACTGAATCCCTGCCGTCGCATCCTTCAGCTCTGTGGAAGAACTGGTACAGCAGCGATGGCTACTCTCACGCCATTTCGGTACTGGAAGGCTAAAAGCACCCTAACCATGAGCGTCGTCAGGGAAAAAAATGCTAACAGCATTCTGGAACTTGCTGGGGCACCTTAATTCTGAGTTTTTGGAAACATCAGGAAGGCGTAGCCCGCAAGGGAAGTCGAGGGCTGAGATTGGCTGGAAAAGGAAATGCGGCACATTTATTTTCCTTAAAAGATGCTATCTGCCACTGACAGAGGCTGGATGAGGAGGTCAGAAGGAGTAACGCTGGGAATGTTCGTACTGGAGGGTCCGCACCCCTGGCCACCCCGGTTGGTCCTGCAGTGAACGCAGGGCAGTTTTGGGGCAGAGGAGGCCAACCTGCAGTCAGGCAAACCTAAGGACCCCACCCCGGGCTCCGGCGCGCCCTGAGTACTCCATCTCCTAGTATTCACAGCAAGAAGGAGAGCGTTTTCTACCTCTCCTTAGTTACCACCCCGATGCAGCTCAAAAATTAGTGAAAAGCTGTCACCATTTTTATCGATTCTCAGAAGGCAAAATGATCTGGCCACTGACAGTGAGAGGCGGCCAGCCCTTCTAAGGCAGTGTTCCAGAACACTGGACACTGCAAGCGTGTTTTTGCCTTTAATTGACGTAGCTCAGAAACATGCGTGTGTCTTGGTATTTTTCCTAATGGTCATTTAAAGCATGGTTTTTATACTAAAATGCAGGTGTGTTATGATAGAACCTACAAAAACGTGGATGAATTTTTCATATTGAACACTAAAATTCAAACATTTAGCACGTGCTCTGAGATGTTTCAGGCCATCACATACCAAGAGCCTCTCACCCACCCCTCTCTGTCTTTACCTGAGGGAAACGGTTTAGGACGCACTGCTCCGCTCTGAGTTGCGCTCTGTCCAGGCTGGTCCACTCTCTGGCTAAGGGAGTCAATTGAGTCACTGAATCGTAGAATAAAATTCTACAATCTTCTGAGTCTGGACACAGTTTATAGAGATGTGGTTCTAGAACTTTCTCGCCAGAAGTCTTTGAGGGCAGAAGAGTCACACACCAGGATGACTGAACTGGAATCTCCGTGTTGCAGAAGAATAAACAGATTCTTAGCTTTGCTAACTCCGTTGTGGCAGAAACCGAACTGTTCAGAGGCGCTCCCACCCTCCTGCCTCCATCCCTTCGAGGAGGACCCTGACGCCTTCCTCTACGCCCCAATCCCTCACTGGCAAACCCAGCATGTTTAGGTCTGTCACGGAGCCGGAGAGACGGAGAATCACTGGCCACACCAGCTTCTCGTTTCACCCAAAAGCGTAGCTTTGGGACCTGATCACCAGAGAGCATCCTCCCATTCCCCGACCAGGCAGAGCAAAAGATACCTGCGTCCTGCAGATGCTGTTCCCACCCACAATCATTCAGCAGGAAAGTGGGTGATGCCCTAGAAACACATCCACCAAACCCAAGGCCACTTCGTCTCCTTTATTCAGGTCTATATCCAGGCTGGTAACCTGGCCCTTGGCAAAACAACGGACTCCCAGGCAGTGTGGGTTTGCAGATGACACTGTGACCTGAGTACCATCCTTGGTGGATGTTCAGACCCATCAGGTCTGGATCCCAGAGCTTCCCTGGGAACCTGACCTCTTTCTGAGCTGGCTGGCGCCTTCTCAGAGGAAGTGAGAACTGTTTGCCCTGACACTCCTGAACTCAGAAACGTTTTTGAATAAAAAAGAGCAAAGCCTTTAAAAAGAAGGCTCAGCAGTGTCAGGATTTACTGCAAATTACTGCGAAGACGGCTTGTGCACGGGGAATTCAACCTCATTTCCAAGGCTCGCAGATTAACGCTCCCGTGACTCCTTCCTGAGACCTAATGTTGTATGTGTGAGGTGCTAAGGCATTCCTGTTGGGTGTCAAATCTTGTCTCCAGGGAGCTTAATTATTTTCAATACAGTTCTTGAACCAGAGGCACCCCTGTACTCAACCAGGTCCACAATGGATGTATCAGACAATGCTGACGTCCATGCTAGGAGGGACAGCCCAAGACAACATTTTTTAAAGAACTGTGATTCACTTGCTTATTCAAAAAGTACTCACCAAGCTTGTATTATCTGCAAACACTTTGGCCTGATATCTTCCTTTCTGGCTCTGTTGGTCCTGGTGTTGGGCAACAGAATGAGCAGTGAAACATGCCTGTTTACTCTACATGACTTCAGTGGAACATACTGGAGAGGGGGAGAGTTTCTCTATTGACTCCATCACCATCTCCATTCCTCCACCCCACCCTGTGCTGACTCCCAGGAAAAAGATGACAGAGTAAGGATGCCAAGAAAAACAAGAGTTCTTCACCTCTGAGTTTCCAGAAGAGATGCCCCCAATAGAGGGATTTTCAGAAGCAATTTGGACTCTCCTGGACTCCTGGCCCCCACTGACTTGAGAAGTCAACACCCACCTGAGACGTGACCCCATCCTATCTCCAGAATTCATTGCTATTTAGAAACCACCCTGGACTGAATACCTGAGTGTGGTGCCTCTTCCGCCCCACGGCTGCCCAATACCCTCCCCTACAAAATGTAGCTGGGAAGATTACGTGGGAGCCTCTCCACTCACCTCCTTAAACAGAAATAGTAAAAGTCATTTAAAATGTTTAGCATCTAATACCATCCATGCCCGTAGTTAGGATAATGACAGCCTTGAGATACAGACAGTCTATGCAAGGCAGTTTTGCACCATTTCTATTTGGCCCCTTTCTCATCGAAAGAATTTTTCATGCCTTCTGGAGGAAGTGACCCAGATTCATGCTTTTTAACACCACCACCCCCCATGCTATACCCATAAAGTCCAGGGGACATTTTAGAGCCTGAGATGCTCTTATTTCTAGGTGGCAACTGTATCCATTTTCAGGCAAGTCACTCCCACACCCTCCATTATCCTTTGTTGGGACAGCCTATCCCTCAGTCTTCCCCTCTGCCAAATGGGTCACAGGCACAAACGGCTTCCACCACGAGAGCCAGGGGAAGGAATCAGAAATGACCAAATGCCGAAGGTGAGGATGTACCCTGGGGAGGGTTAGACGGAGGGGAACACTGACTGCGGCAGCGCTGTTGGGACAGAACGGGGAGCACCCCCCCTCCCCTAGTCTCCTGATTCCCAGAGCAGCCCCCTTTCTCCCACACAATAACTCTGCCACAGAGACAAACGCTTACTAGTCCTACTCCCACGCGGGACTGAGATTCCCGAGCGGGTAAAAGCCTTACCCTTGGTGGGGGGGGGGCTGCTTTTGATCCACAGCCAGGGGACCTCCAGCGCCCCAGAATCCCTGGCTCCCAGCACACCTCCCGACCTCAGTCCCTACATCTGGGTAAAGGCTTCCACTCAGCATGTGTGTAACTCAGAGCCACATGACACTGAAATGCTAAGTGAAGAGCAATTAACTTTTGCTTCTGAAAACCCACTTTAGCTTTCCATAACTCTTTGGGGGCCATTTCAACTAAGCCAAACCTCCCGCACATTCTCCCTCAGCCATAAATTACCTTCCTGGCTTTAATTAGCTGCCGGCGTGCAAAACCCGGGCTGGGTGCTGACGTGGCTGCTTTCCCCACAGGTCCCATTCTGTCACACAGACTCCAGGAGAAAGGCAGCTACAGGAGCAGTGGGGCTGCCTCGGTGGGGATGTGGGGACGTGAGCATGGGGCCAGCAGTGGCCTCACCTGCCCGCAGGGTGGGGAGGAGAAGCCCAGAAGCCGGGGTGGGACTGAATTCTACAGACAATGACATTAGCTGGAGGGGCCGCTTGGCTCCCTGGGTTGTGCCCCCAGGTCTCCCCTCTCACCAGTCTTTCCTTCCTCCAAAGCAACACGCGGGCGCACACACACACACTCTCACACACTCACACACTCTCTCTAGCCCCCAGGTATCCAATATCTTTATCTCCCTTCTCATTCTTGCTAAGGGAGAAATTACAGAGCTTACTATGTAAGTCCTCCCAGGAGAATTTGCTGGATAATTGTGAGCTAAGCTGGAGTCCAAATGAATAAATCTCTAAGGGTGTGATTTTAGTCACATCTGTGGGCTGGAATCGGTACTGGCTGGAAAAGAAAGAAGTTAAAAAAAAAAGGCACCCTCAGAATCCCCAACATCATTCGGAGCCCAAGATTAAGATTTGAGGTGCTGCTTCTAACCGCAGGTGTGACCTCCGTAAGTCCCTCTCCTCTGGGCCAGTTGCAGAGGAGAACCGTGATGGATGAGCGGGTCCTCTTTCACCCTGCCGT